TTTTGAATCATTTTCATAATCACTACGTGTAGTGTATACACCTATTATGCGTGTGTGTAGACCATAATGTTAATACTTTAAACTAGATTTATTAGAAAATATTTTATTTTATTTGAAATGTCTTCGTTTTTTTTTAGCAATGAATTCTGTTAAGGCTATATACATATAGGTACTAATGCGTTTAATATATTGTAAATATTATAATATCATGATCGTAAGATTTAAATTTTAAATTATTATTATATATTAATTTATTAATTTCAGCGAACTAAAACACTATTACGTTTTACGTATTTAAGTATGTTATTTTTGTTCGAAACAAGGTAATACATAAGAGTTGAATATTGAGTGAGTCTCCCGTTTATTGGGTTTTTTTTATTGCAAATTGTTTTCTTCTGTCTCGACTATAATCAGCATTATAATTTATAATTATTACTGTTGTAAACGCTGCGTATTATACGGAAGGTAATGGAAAAAATATAACGCGATAATTGTAGAAATAATAACGTTTAAATAATAGTACATTATATATTATGTAATATATGTGTTTTATATTTTATATCGCTTCATAATACAGAAGATTAAGACTATTTATCTTATGATTATTTTAAGAATATCAATATAGTATTTCGCGTAAATTATAATTTATATTACGAACTCGAGTAAACAGCCGTCACTCGTAATGTGTAGTAGATATACTATATTATAGTAACATCTAATTCGAAATGTACAAAATATTATGTTCAGCTTAAGAAAAACATTTATATATTTCTTACTACACGTTTTTACAAAGCGACTTTATTGACGATTCTTATTACCGGTTGGTGTGGTCGGGTGATGACGTGCTTTTATGCAAAATGTCGAGGTCACTATAATAGTACTATACCAGCTATTATATATATGTATATACATTTTCCTTGTAGTATATCATAGACTTAAGTACGTCACTGAAGAATGACGGCATACTGTAATAAATATATAATGTATTATATATTTACGTGTATTAGTAAAATAATTGTACATAATATCTACATTTATACATAAAATAAATTATTTTTTGATAACTGATAAGGGATATTATAACTGAGCCTTTGTAATAATATAAAATAATTGCACCAGTGTAGTATGTTATATGTTTACGCTTTTACAATTTCCGCTTTCATCTAAATATATAATTGTATAAACGACACACCCAGCCAGTGAAGATATAATTATTACTTTTTATGTATAAAAATTTGGCTCATATTATCAGTTATAATGTTAATATAGAGTAATATTTTAAGTAACTTTTATTAGCATCTTGTCACACCTATTTCATTAAATACTTAATAAATTTGACACGTTTTGTTTTGAATATTCGTCAGTTCATCACGTTAATAATTGTTATTTGATTGAGAATAAATATTTACTATTTCCCAATAAAATATTTATAGAATACATCCCCGTGAAGGTTGTAGCAAGTAAATAAATGCACGTCAATATTATTATAGAAATACTCTGCAATATGTACGTGACGTGTATAACGAAAATAGCTTGCAAAGAAGTTATGCAATTAGGTGGACAGGAAGTAATAATAATACATATATTGTGGTATTTTATTAACAAGATGTAAAATATATGTATTTCCTATATTATGAATTATGATATTATGATTGTAAAATTTTTATGATAAATACTTACATACTTATTAAATTGAATATATATTAAATATAACCGTACACCATACTTAATTTAATTTTATGCCTATATAATAAAATATTTTGTATAAAAATTCATGTATTTAAAAAAAATAACACACATAATTTGCATGAATTAAGTAAAAAAAAATTAATAGTAACAGTATTATATGAGTTTATTGTAATATTTTGTATTAACCTCAAATTGTCAATTGAATACTGTAACTTAATTTTTCAACACAATAATGTACCTTTATTGCATACACGTTTCGCCGTATATAATACTTGGGTACACGAAACACCGGTTATTGCTTACTACAGAAAAAATGAGAAATAATTGCTTGCCTTGGCCTGGGATAGATGATATTTGCAATAAAAATATTGAATATTAATCATTTTAAAACTATTATAAAATATAATTCCGTTAAAAACGATTCTTAGCTAAACTCTTAGTCTGTTTTTTATTGACATTATTGTGTTAAATTTTCAAGGTGCCCATTTAAATCGAAAAAATAAGAATTTAGTTATAGCATATGTATTATATACATATCTTCATAACACTAGTATTATATGTTGAAAAAATTATCACTAACGTGGTAAATATTCATTTAGATGTTAAAAGTATTGTTGTACTATTGATTTTGTTTTATTTATAAAGATCAAATAAGAAATAAATTTTTATTTTTTTTATTTTTATATTATATAATATTATATTGCAATAAAATCCATATTTAGTCTATAAGTACTATTTATCTATTTATATAATATGTATAAAAATGCTTGAAAATTGAATACAAGGCTCTCTAATTTCTTATAAGTAGTTCATTTACCGACTAAAAAATTATAATTTTGATAAAATTCTTAAAATATTGAAAATTTAAAAATTATTTCATAGATAAAAATCTATGAAAAATTTTCTTTTTATATTTATGATTTGAAAAAATTATACAAGATTCCTCGTTAGTTTTTCTACTTACGATAAAAATAAAACATTTTTCAGAAAATTATATTAATTTTTATAACCGTTTGAAGAACAAATTTTAGAACTCACGTGGTATAATGCTATCTACATGAACTCTGATCGCGTTGTATTTTATCTATGTTTCAGGTGATATCTACTATGTATAGAGACTAAAATTACAGGTTTAACTGTTTAATTATAAACATCAATACTACACTCTATAATATAGTCTACACTTTACATGACTTTCAGTTTGGCTTGTAAAAGTGATGTTTACTTGAATTATTTATTCGGAATAAATTATTTTTGTTAAATAAAAATAGATAATTTAATTGACTTTTATAGAAATGTTATTTACAATGACGAAACGTGCACAGATAAAAAAAAATTGTAGATAACATACAACGCCAACAAACAATTGTGGTAAATACATTTATCATGTAGATAATATATAACGTGAATTCCCAAATTTCCATGACGTTTTCATACATAGAAGAAAAAATGATTTGATCTTTGATATTAAAGGTGATGGTTTCTAATGGGAAATTGGACTACTGGATCTAATTAGTACTTATGAGAGATCAAAATTAAAAAATCCTAGTGTTTTTTTAAAAAAAAAAAAAAAACAAGAATTTTGATGAAATAAGATATTTACAAAATTAATATTTATATTTATAAAGTGCCACATTTAGACATTTTGTGTCTCGGTGTAAAAAACAAATTGGCGCCCTCCCCCCCCCCCATAGTGGGGCCTACTCACAGAAAATATAGGAAGTAGATCTTCATAAACCTTAAAAATTTTGGCAAAAAAAAAAAAATACTGAGTGCTTTTTAAAAAAAAATATTGTTTGATAATTATATGAACCCCCTTTCCCCTTCACAAGATATATTTGAATGTTTGTCACTTGAACGCTACAGTTTATTATTTATTATATGAGTTGTTTTTTGTGTTCTAATAAAATTTGATTACGATTTTGATAACTACTTAACTTTTTTTTCGGGTTATAATTAAAATTATATAAAACCAATATAATAATAAATAAATAATCAATAGTGCCACCGAGTAGAAAAAGAAATAATAAGTAATTAAATTGGCATCATTTACAAGTACTGTAGCTCGAAAGGTTCGAGTTTGTTAACTAATAAAGTAATAATAGCAATAATAATTTTATTTTAAATTTTTGTAAAAAAGCACGCGCTGCACGCGATATTAAAATATGTTTTATTATAATTATAAATAATCTATGTCTATATTGACATAATCACAACAAATTTGGGATATTAATAATTCTCGATAGCTAGAAAGTAGAAACCTATGTAGCTATATTGCTATAAATACATTAGTTAACAGCATAATACATTAAAATTGTATATTATACTATTTAATACTGTTATTAAAATAATTTCAACTAAAAATTTTTTATAATAATTGGAAGTGAACAAATTTCTGCGCCCGGGGCAGTTGTAGTCAGTGCCCTCTCCTTAAATGCGGCCCTATATACATATACGTACATATATATTACACAGTGAAGGTCAATTTATCAATTATTGAATTATGTCAGAACAAAACACAAATCGATAATAAGCATGAAATCAGCAATAAATTTTTTTTTTCATGTTTTGGAGAATATTCATTTCGAATTAGAAAATTTTAAACAACTATAAACTGTAATGTAAAATTATTACATTGATAATTATAGTAAAAACTAAATCATAGTAATTTATCAATATTTATAGTTTTATATTTACAATTTCATCTGATGTTCCTAACATCAAATAAGACTAGGTCTCTTGATTCTGGAATTTTGATTTTTGATCTAACTGAAGTACGCCATCTGTGCGCCTGTGACAGCACATAAACAAATAACAATGCGTCAATACACTGCTGATGTTACTACACAAGTAAATAATAATACAATTAAAATGTAAGTTAATTTTGACAATAATAAACATATATTTTACATTATTTATAAAATGCATATTAATATTCTGTATAATACGAAGGACCATTATCACGGGGAAGTATGTACCTTTTTCTTCAGTATTTTCAATATTTTCATTATATATTTTCGGCTATCTAGCTGACTTACGAAACATGACCAAATTATTATGTTACGGCCAGACCGACCAGTGGTGTGGATGTCACTACCGCCGCTCGCCGGTAAACAAATAATAATAAACTAAATAAACAAATAAGTAAACGTTCCACGCGCGCGCGCTGAATTGTTTAAACCAAAACAGGGCGTGTATGAAGTAGGAAACGTTCATGCCGAGCCGTTCAATCCTCGCCGTAGCTAACATCAACCGGTGCAGTCCCGCGACCCGTTTCCATCCACCGAAAACCAACCGCCAAAACCGACGACTGTTGTTGTTCGTTCGTAATTTCGTTTTCGTGTGCCGTGTGCCTGTGTGCTATTGTGCATCTGTACGATTCGTCGTCATAATAATAATAATACACCTCGTCAACCGGTGGTACATTCTACAATAATAATAATAATAATATTACATTGTTTGCCGGGTGCATTGTGCTCGCGTACGTCTAAGTGAAAAGCAAAATAACCCGACGTGTGTTGCGCCCGTTTATGCGATTTAGTGTTGCACTGTCGTTGTGTACCGGTGGTGGAGGACATCTGTTAGTGCTGCAGTTGTGGCGTTTCTTAAAAAAAAAAAGGTAATCCGGCACTATATATTTTATCTCCGTGCACCTACCCATCATCAACTAACTACTTAGACGTGCTGAACAATTATACATCTGCTGCTGCCGCACTGTATAGCGTCGCACGCGTTGTGTTTCTTCGTGATCCTTCGCGTTTTCTATTTTGTGAGCCTAACATCGAACATATCGAACCGTTTAAAGTTTAAAGCCGTACACTGAGTCCGTGACAATGTCCGACAAACAGATCTATTATTCGGACAAATACTACGACGACAAGTACGAATACAGGTTTGTACTAGATATGCAGAAATTGTTTTTTTAATCTAATAATGAGTCGCCAGGTCAACACGAAATGATCAGAAATTCAATTTTCTAAATATGGACGAGACGATTTAATTTATTTTTATAAATACCATTTTTTCCCCTTATTTTTGTTCCTGGAGATATAACATTTTATAAACTGTAAGGAGGATAGATTATAAGACTTATAAGTATTGAAATGCCATAAGGTATGTCTCTTGAGTATTTCAAAATACAATTTTTACATGATGTACCAAGGTAAGCGTTTATAGAAATAAATGTTTGTATTGATTCTGTGTATTAAATAAAATATATACACTATTCTACAATTTTGTGATTTAGATAATAAATGTATTACTTATATTTGTTCATACAGTTTTATTTAATTTAATTGACCACTTGAAGGGTATCTGTAAACAAGATACCTGTAAATTATAATTCAGTTACTGTAGAATCTTTTTATTGATAGGATCTATTTACTAGTCCCTCTGTTCATAATTATCTAGTTGCCTGATTACAATTTATTTTATCTAATATATATTTTTGTGCAAAAGGTTTTTTTTATTTTCATACTTATTTGTATATTCAACCATATTTTTTTAATTTATTTATTTGTGAAAAACTATCTCAATGCACATGAATTATTTTCAAATGCACTAGATATAATAAGTTAATATTGTATTTTTCAAAATATTTATAGAAAGTTAAATATTTTGTTTTTATTTTATATCTTTTTTGAGAGTTATTAGATAAATATTTTTTTTTATGTAAGGCATGAACTAAAAAATGTTGAGAACCTTTGTTATATATATATAATCATAATCCATGTTTGTATTCTAATACCCAACAATTTTAATTATTTTTTTACCAATTACCTACCCAGTTATATAATTTGTATTGTTTCAATAGTTTATTTTTTTAAATTATATATCTATTTTAATCTAATTTAAGTTAAAAGTATTATTTTAATTTTATTATATATTATTTGTAGACATGTAGTGTTGCCTAAAGAGATGGCAAAAAGCATACCAAAAACACATCTACTTTCTGAAGACGAATGGAGATCGATTGGAGTACAACAGAGCAAGGGATGGGTACATTATATGATTCACGAACCAGGTGAGTTTTTGCAATACACTGTTTATATATTAATAATATGTTAATTTTATTTATTTGACATTAAAGATGTTGACTGCACTGCACAAAAATTTTATAATGGTTTATAGGCAGTTAGTTGCTATAATTAATTATTTCCAAAATAATACTGCTTTAAATCTTGTATTATTTAAAAACAATTATTATTTTTATGGCACTGTAATAATGCTCTCTTACATATGTAATAATTATGAAAAACAATTAAAACACTAATAATAATATTATTTTATAATAAATTTATATAATAATAAATTTAAAATACTAATATTTATCTTTAACTTTAAGTATATTTTTTATCTTAATATTTTAGTATGGTAAAATATTGATAAAATAAAGAATAATTACATTTGTTTGTGTAGTGTAGGTATAAATTTTTCTTCAATTTAAATCTGATAGTTTTATCATTGATAAATTTGAATTAAATTCTTTTAGTTGATTTAAATAAAATACTAAATAATCACTATATTCAGATAGCTATTATAATATTTTGTTGCATATGTATACTAAATACAGTAAAAACTTGATTTACCATTAATCTCTGTTATTTGTAATCATCAAAAAAGCAAATGTAACTGACTTCTTAAATTACCTTTGCTGGTAATTGAAAAATTTAAAAAACCACATGTATTCAAAAAATACAAGCAATACTTGTGAACTATCATTAACATAAAAGTACTTGGATGAACCAAAAAATGTATGTTTATTTAAACATTTTTACTATTTATTTATATACTGTAATGAAGTAATAGTTAATCAAGTTTCTATTATGCAAGATAATTTGAATTTGAAATAATGTTTCCTTTTGGTTTACAACAAGATATAAAAGAAAATATTAAATTGTCAATGAGAAATGTATTAAATTATCTATACTTTGAATCTTAATTTTGCTTACCTAATTGAATGATTAATTTATTTTTTTTTTACAGAACCACACATTTTATTATTCAAAAGACCGCGAACCAACTGAACTTTCTACATACCTAAAACTGTTGAATGTCTTATTGAATAATGTAAAGAAGGTAGGGGATGGAAAATTTAGTATTTAAGTATTATAATGTTCTGTTGTATATATAAATCAACGAAAAATGTTGAAAAGTTTCAACTTTTTTCTGAGTAAATGTAATGTTTATTCACTCTGTTATGTTTCAATAATTGAATTTATTTTTAAAATGTAATCATAAATATTTACTCTGTAAGTCTTGATTATTAAATATTTTTATTATTAAATACATTTTTTTTTTTAAATCAAATACTATTCTAGGTTTTTGTAACAAAACAAAAAAAAAACATAAAAAAAATACCTAATGTTTTGATTATTTTTATTGTACAATATAAAATATAACTACTTGTACTATAAGTAATTTTTTTTTAACTTAGGTTTTTTGAAAAATGTGTGTATTTTAAAAATAAATCTAAAAATTAATTGATTAAAAATGCATACTTATTTTATCTATATTAGATTGAAAGGAAGCTTTTTTTTATCATAATTTTAACAATATTAGTACACATTTGTTAGTTGGAAACCCGTCTCGTGTCCAATTGTACTTCTTGTTGTAATTTGGGTGGTAATTCGCGATAAATAGCCTCTGGTATGTTATCTGAAATAATGGTATAATGAATATGATAGCTGGTTTATTGAAAATGTTTTAGTGCGTCGCTTACCATTGCAGCGATAAACCAAATCTGACCATATGATCATTTCTTGAGAGAAACAAAACACTCCTAACCTACCGCCTTTGAAAGTGTAATCAAACACATTTCCCGAATCCGTTACCATATTTTGTCCCTCGAATATTCTCAATCTAATAAGACCAATCTTTGGACGATGCAACAATATCCATCTGTAGGCGGTTTTTCCTTTCCAACCAATGTTTCGCGGATCTTTCCACAGTAGTTTCACCTGTTTTGAAAGTCAAAAAATAAAACAACATAGTGAGTTTTTTTTATACGTTCTCTATAAATTGTATTTTTGTATTCTCGCCTGTTTGTCTGTGCTCTCTGTATTCCACAGAGCGTTTCTCAACATTTGTCCAGGTCCGGTTTCCGAGTGTACGGCTTTGATCTGTATTCCAGGTTCAGCTACCGCTCTGAACGGTGTCGCCTGCCAGTATGTTTGAGTGCCTTTTTTCCACATCACTGTGTAGAACTTATGATTGTCCTGGTAACTGAACACAAAACCTACGTAGTCGTCATCGATGTCGGTATCCACGAAGAATGTACCTTCAAAGTCGACGCCGCCGAACGAGTCGTAACCTATAGATATAGTACACATTATTCATAGTAGTCCTTTGACTGTGTACAACAATACCACATTGGTCGAATCTCCATTTATGTCAAATATTATATTATTTTGTAAGTATAAAATAATGTTACTACAGATAATTCTATAGCACAGAACCAGAAGTGTACACGGATACTGACCTACAGCCAAACCGGGATCGCTGTTCATGGTTTGTACGAATTCGGCTCCTTTGTTGTACACCACCCAATTAGGATCAATTTGCGAATCACCTTCCGGGTCCAGCACCACCGTCTGGTATGTCCTAAAGTCCGTGGTGAATATCTTGGAGTTATTTGGGCAGTTATCCAAATGATTTGGCACCTTATCGTAATCATTGTCGTCCTGACATATGTCCCCGATGCCATTGCCTGTACACGGGGAGAATGCGATTAACGCAAACCGCGAGGTTATTTGATTTTAATGATGGAACGTTTGCAGGATAATAATGGTTACCGTTTACTGACCGTCGAAGTCGGCCTGGTCTGGATTGTACACAAGCATACAATTATCCTGCGTGTTGCCGATGCCATCGCCGTCAATATCTGGATCGCATTCGTCACCCTTCCCGTCACCATCCGTATCTAACTGATTGGAATTTGCTACTTTGGGACAGTTGTCCACGCTGTCCTGAATGCCATCCCTGTGGTGTAGAATTGTTTATTATTAATATTTTACTTCAAATGTGTCTTTTATTATTAACTGTCTAAATTCGAATCATAATCATTTAATACAAGGTCTTCATTAGTAGTTAATATACGAGAATTAGAAAATCTAAAAAATATATAAATTTGATTTTTTCATAGACATTTTAAGTTAATTCAAAAATATTTTTGGGGATTTGTAACTCGTGTATATTAATGTATTTAATGTATATTATTATATTTTATAAACAAATGTCGATTTTAAAACATTTAAATTAATTTTATGTTATTTCCTATTTATAATTTATATCGTATTATTGTAATAATTAAATAGATTACTCTAATAATTTATGGCAGTATATTGATTGTATATCGATAAATCGTCTCCGCTTGGAATCATTTTCGTATATAATAATTTATTATATCCATTATAAAGATTTATTCAAATACTCAAGAACGGTAGGTACAGTCAATTCCTTTTGTACAACAGAACTCTTATTTTCGATTATTTTTATTTTCTTAAAAGTATTGGTAATTTTTATCTTCGACCTCTCAAATCATAAACTAGATTTACTTAGCTATACTAAAATATATTGAAGTTAAAAGTTGAAGTGCATTTCACTGTTGCTCCGAAAGGTGATGCAAAAAAAAATTTGTAAAATCAATACATTTATTATCACGATCAAAATTTAAAATATATTTCATCCCAAAAATGTATTCGCAGGTCACAAACCTCGGAACCATGGGTTGAAGATTCTTAAACTATAAGATATTTTTGTGACAAATAATATTTCAGTCACAAAATTTGACTGAGAAAATGAATATCTAGTCTTATGTATGACAAATCTATTGGATCACTCTATGTTATTATGTATTGGTATTATTACAATTATTTTATTTATGTCGTACCTGTCTCTGTCGATGTCACTGTCGCAAGCATCGCCTATCAGGTCTTTGTCGGAATCTGTTTGCGTCGGATTGTGCATACTTGGGCAATTGTCACAAACATCACCGAGACCATCGCCGTCCGTGTCCCTCTGGTCGGGATTCGCCTTTTTTGGGCAGTTGTCTTCATGATTCAGTATGCCTAAAATGTTTGTCAAAAAATGTAATAATTTATAATTGTATTAACTCTTAAAAAATATCGATGTTGGTATTAATTGATATTTTTCAAATTTATTTAACTAACGCGTATCAATTAATACTACATACCGTCGTTGTCAATGTCCGCATCGCAAGCGTCTCCTATTCCGTCGTTATCTGTGTCGTGCTGATCCAGATTTGGAATGGTCGGACAGTTGTCGCAAGCATCACCTTTTTTGTCTGCGCCGTCTTGATCGGAATCCATTTGGTCCGGATTGGACACCAGGGGACAGTTATCCTGTGCAACAACCGATAAATCAGTAAATTTACTCTGCCACTTAATAACTAATGGACATTGTCTACATCGGAAAATCGAGAGACTTTTGTTATTATTTCAACCTAAAAAAATGTTTTATAGGTACTTTTATGGTGTTCTTTTTGTGCGGTAGACAATGATTAAAATGACTGCGCTTATGGTTTATATTATAAAAGCAAATCTGCAACATTTCTAGGAATATGGAACGTGGTGATGTAAGACAATTAAAAATTTGTCCACCTCGAGCGACACTATTTTCCAAATTGTGAAGCGGTTTAAGTATTGAACCTGCTGTTGGTTTAAGAAATCTGCATGTGTCCGTACACTGTGTACATGAGTGATAACATAAAGTCGGACTAAGTCAAAATTTAAACAACATATTTTATAATCTTGGCTCCACTTCCTAAAAATCTTTACTTTTAACTCAAGATTGTCATTTATTAAATTAAAATTTTTTTTAAAACTATTCGTTAAATTGTAGATTTTTTCATAGAAATAGTATTTTCATATACAATTGAAAAATGATATTTCAATTTTATAGGTATTCATTAAGTGATAACTAGAGTAATATTTTTTAAAATTACTATACCATTACCTACCTACTTATATTCATTTAGAAATAACATTTTAATACTTTTTTGAATAACATTAAATATTAAGTATAAATAAAATATAAGGATCTGTTTTATATAAAAACATATATTAATGAATATTGAATGTGGATACTTTAATAAATGGAAAAGGAATTCAATTCATTTTTTCGTATGTTATTGACGCATTTATATAGTACTACTTGTGTGTTTAATGATGCATTGTAGCATCATTACAAATCATTAAGATTTCACGACAAGCATATATTTATATTATTAATTGACTTCTATTGTGGCTACCTCCTTTCTTTTTAATGCTAACCAAATTTAATATAGCCATAATTTTTTTCTCTGCTGCCAAATATAATACGACTACCATTATCTTACCGGTGTGTTTGGCACGCCATCGTTGTCGGCGTCATCGTCGCAAACGTCGCCTATGCCGTCATGGTCCGCGTCTTCTTGTCCCGAATTGGGTACCCTTACGCAATTGTCCTGTGCCCCGAAATAAACAAAACGCGATCAATAAGTTTTCATTGGTTTTATTTATTGGACAATTATTATACTGCACAAACCTTTTTACACCGCGTGTCATTGCACGCTAAATCAATGTCCGGCCATCTGTCCAAATCCAAATCGGGTCCGCATATTTTGCCGTTTCCAGCCCAGCCCACAATACACTAAAAATATTAAATGACGATAAGTACAGCATTATACTATGAAGTATTTACTAGTCTGTGAGCGATTTACTATACTTATACAGTATACACGTCATGAATTGCATACCTATTCTATTTTTGAATTGAATAGAAATTTAATTTATTTTAATTAAAATTAAAATGTAATACACATACATGTACACTACAGGGTCATAATTTGTGAAATCAGAGTGTGCGGTTGCACTCTTTACTTTTAATATAGTACCTACTAATTAGTCTGCACCCTGCTGAGATAATGTTCAACATTAAATCTTCTTAAATGGTATTTTTATTTTGACATTTATCAATATTGGTAAATTGTCTATTATTATGATTGTTAATTATTTATTATATTTTAGTTTTTAAATTGATTTTTTCTATTTATATTGATGCAATAATTCGGTACATGCGATGTATGGAAATAATTTAAAACAGGATAGTGATGATAGTGTACATATACGTATATCGAATTTTATATGGCTTCTTGAAATTTC